CCTATAGGAACTTTATCAACTTTTGAACAAATCACCTTTTAGAACTTTAAGGACTCCACATTCTCCAACAAATTTGGAGCCATTAGAGTCTAAGGCATCCAAAGAGATAAAGTTCCTTTTTGGACCTGGAACATATCTCACATTAGTCAAGGTTCTCATAACTCCATTATATATAGTTATAGTCACTCTCACTCTCACAATATCAGCGGTCTTACAAGCCACAACATTCCACGTCAAAACTGATCCACCATTAGGGTTCATGTATATGGTAAAAACAATCGCGATGGAGACCTATATTATAGGAACATCCCGAATCATGAACCCATAAGTCTTTAGAGTAGTCGAGATTGACAACACACTATCTGTTCCATTTTTTGAGTTTCCATCAATAACATTGGCGGCAACATAGGCTCATTTTCTTTATCTTTCAGTTTCTGACAATCCTTCTTAATGTACCACTTTTTCTTATATTAAATAGTAATGAACATTACTTTTTCTGGTCAGATTTGGATCGGGACTTGCCTGGACCTTCATATCCCTTTTCATTTGAGTTAACATATCTCCTTTTACTTACTATGTCATTTGCATGTGCTTGAGCATTACCCTATCTCTTCCTCAGATCATTCAAGAGAAGAGTCGAGGTTACATCCTTAATCTCTATAATATCTTTCCTCTAAAGCATTGACGTGACAAGATGCCCATACGAATGAGGGAGTAGGGACAACCAAATTATAGCCTTATCCCCATCTTCTACATCAACACTAATGCTCAATAATTCATAAATTTATTTAATTGATTAAGGTGTTTATGGATATCTGTGCATTCATTTAAGTGTAAGGAATGTAACTGTTTTTCAAATACAATCAATTCATGTAGGGCTTTATCATATACAAATTTTCAAGCTTCAACCAAAGACTGAATCGTAATTGACGATGTTAAACACCACTTCGCTCATATTAAGTAGTGCTCATAGTCCTCAGATCTAAGTCTTCCCAATCATAATTTGATATGGATTCTGGTTTCTTTGACTTTCCTTTCAATGCTTCGTTTAATCCTTGTTGCAATAGCAAATCCCGAATAATAATTTTTTGAATTTTGAGATTATTTTAGCCATCAAATTTCTCCATTTTGAACTTTGCATTTGTAACCTTTCCTGCCATACTGACAATCCCAAACTAGGCTATGATACTACTTATTGTACGCAGAAACTGATGATTTTTAGCAAATAATGAATGAGAAAATAAAACTAGCAACAAGCAAGAAAAATAAAACAAGTTAGAAATAGTACAAAAAAAAACTTGAATTTTACGTAGTTTGTCATAGATGAGACTATATCCGTGGGCAAAGACGATTGGTGGTTTTCCACTAATCTATGAAAGAAAACTACATGATGACTCTTACCTGAGAGAACCAGTGGTACAAACTCAAACTCTCATAATACTGCTCTCTACACTTCCTCTTTTTACACCTAAACACAACTCCCTCTTTGTCATATTTGTTTATCTCTTTACAAAAAAACCTAAATAGAGAAAAGAAAAGATCTCATAGACACCCACATGTGGCCTCCCCAACTTTTACCATCGTTTTAGGATTTTTAACATCCACTATCCAAATCCAACTAGGCTTTATCAAGAATAAACTCCTAAATAATAGTAGGTTATTATAAGAATCCCAAATTAATAGGAAACACCCAAAAAATAGGAGACCCCAAAATTAAGGAAACAATCCCTTTCTCATTTCTTAGTTTCAAAATGCTCAATTTCTTGTTATTTTCAGAACTCCAAATGTTGAAGATGTTCTAACTTGGAGAAGTTTCAAAATTTTGTGTTCGTATTTTCAAAAACTTTAATCATTTTGGTTCAAGTTGTAAGCCTAGCATCACTGTCTATTTTCTAAATTTCTCCCTATTGACAAAAATATTTTCAAAAAACAAGGAATAGGACCAAAGCCTTGAAATGATACCAATTGTCCCGTGCTCAATAATCTCCTTTGATTCTAAGAGACTTTTGTCAAAGATCTTTAATCACCCTTAGGAGCCTATAACCTCATAATTTACATCCCCAGCATTTCTTAGGATATCCTACCCACTCACTAGGAAGAGCAAGAGGAAAGTGAACTCTGAAAGAAAAATCAATTTCATCTCCATTTTATTCATTTCATTTTAGATATTAAAACTCAGAATTGGTGAAACGACATATACTTCATGCAAACATTCCAGAGAATGCTCAATCTCCTTAATGCAAAAATTCCTAGGCGAGCTGAGATAGGGCAGCAATCAATGTGTTGATGGACCTAGTAGGATAACCATTCTTTGAGCAATAGTTCTAAGTTCTTTAGTTTATTTCATTTCATTTCATTTTGTCTATAGGTATCTACATCTTTGCCGCCTGCTATCCCTGGAAGGGCGGGGTACGCCAAAGACAAGCAACTGTGAATACCTCATTTGGTATTAAGATTCTCCTCAATTTCTAGATAATAAGGCATAGGAAATGACCCCTAAATTCATGGAAAACCATTTAAACATCTACGGAACACACTAGCATAATACATTGTAGAATCAGTTATCAGACTATGCGAGACTTGCAGCGTAGAAGGCATGAAAATTGCTTTACAGGGTGCGTGTGGCCAGTTATTTGCTCGTGATTGGCTCAGATAAGCTTTCTTCTAATTTCTCATTGTTGTTTGCCTATATAAATTCTCATTTTCGACACCCAAGGGGTTGGCTCTCTTAAGAAACCCTAAATCCCTAAGCTGACCAAAACTGAAAACCCTAACCCTAGTTCTTTAGAAGCCTTACCTTGGTTCATCCATGGGAACCAAAAATCCTAGATTTCTAGGAAGCCATGGCTACCCAATCTCATGAAGAAGATCATCATTTCATCAAGCCCCAATGCCTTAAACCCTAGATTTTTAGGAGCCTCTTCATCTCATCTCACTTAAGATCAAGGTAATCAATTATTTAAGAAGAAAAGCAGGATGTAATCATGGCTACTATTCCAAGTGTTGGGCCAGGAAGCCCCGACGGTTTGTAAGTCCGTTATTTTTCTTTTAGTCGTAGTTTTATTACACTTTTCTTTTAGTTTTTAGTATTCCATTGTTTCTTGTGTTTTATCTAGGTATTCTCTTGATTTTGATGAGTTTTCAACTGACACTGACGATCCAAAGAGGATTCGGTCTTTCAGGTGAAATATGATTACTTTGGGTTGGGATTCGACTTGGCCCCACTTAATCTTAAATAGCTGAGTGTACAACGAGTTTGCGCTAGATCTGGTATCAAATCAGGCCCAGATTCAATTATATATAAATATCCTCAATCGTGGGTTCTTTTTAAAAAATTGGGTGGTCCAATGTTTGAGTTATGAGACTTGCCTAATTTAAAATTCTCTTTTAGGTTTTTTAATATGGTTCGGTGCATTTATATATAT